GTTATGATATTTAATTGTATTATATTATTATTATATTGCATTATTGTTATATTATCATATTATATTGCATTTTTATTCTATTTTAAAACATTTATTGTTATTATACTATATTGTATTATTGTATTGAATTTCTGTTATATTATTATATTATAAAAATGCAATGTAATCAAAGAATAATAACATAAAATATTATTTTATATTATACTTAATTTTTTTTATTTCATTGTCAGGAGTTGGGCGTCTCCCTGAGGCAGGGCTGGGCAGCCTTGGTGTCCGGCCTCAGCAGCCTGGCCTTCCGTGGAGGACGGAGCTGAGAGGCCATCTAGACTGACCCCCAAGAAGCAAGGGAGGGAGGGAGGGAGGGAGGGAGGCACGGCCGGCCCATCAGGATACTGTGGCCAGAGGGATCCATGGCTGGACCGGACCGGACCGGACTGGGGCTGAACCCTGGGATGGCGTTCTTGGCTCCCAGCCTTGAAGGAAAGAAGGAGCCATTGCAACCACGACAACAACAGCAATAATGTCATCATAATAATGTCATAATCGCATAATTATAATGTAATAATTATAATAATGTAATTGTGATAATTTAATACATCGTCATCATCATCATCATGATTATTATGGGGGTCTTCTTCCAAAACAAGCCTCTATAAACCTTGGATTGATTACACTGCCACATTGTTGGATCATCAAGTGTCTAGATGTCATCCGGGTTCGTGAAAATATTTGCAAGTTCACTGAAAATGCGACAAAACAATGGAAAACTGAGCTGTTTGTGGGCAACAGACTCCGAGCAGAGGCAGAATAATAATAATTGGGGGGTGTCTCTGTGATGATATAATTATAATGTAATAATAATAATTAATAATAATATAAAAATAATAATTTAGCCATGGGTGGCCGGTCTCCTGAGACGTCTGGTTGGTGTGGGCTGACCTCTCAGGGTCGTGTTTTGTGTATGTGTGTGTTGGGGGGACCAAGTGGGGGCAGGAAGGGGGGCCCGGACACTTGTGCCTCTGTCTTGTATTGCGGCGACGTGACACCCGTCAGTCGCGCAGGGCGAAGGCCCGGCTGGCGTCGCGCCCGCAGTCAAAGCCGCATTCAGACTCCGGAGCCACCTGCTGCTCCCCAGGCCCGTTCCCCGGCTGCCCAGCCCCCCCTCCCCTCCCCCTCCCCTCCCTCCTTGGGGCTGGGCTGCCCGGGTGGGACTACATGGCCTTTGGGGGCCCCTTCCAGCACTGGGCCCAACTATCGTTATTACTATTATGTATTGATTGATCGGCTTGGATGGTGTCCTTCCTGTGAAAAAAAGGGGGTAGGACTGGATGGCCTTTGGGGGTCCCTATGACAGATAGATAGATAGATAGATAGATAGATAGATAGATAGATAGATAGATAGATAGATAGATAGATAGATATAGACAGACGCACACACACACACACACACAAATGATATCTATCCATGATATCTATGGCTGGATGGCCATCTGTTGCAAAGGCTTGGATGGTGTCCTTCCTGTCAAAAAAGGGGGTAGGACTGGATGGCCTTTGGGGGTCCCTATGACAGATAGATAGATAGATAGATAGATAGATAGATAGATAGATAGATAGATAGATAGATAGATAGATATAGACAGACGCACACACACACACACACACAAATGATATCTATCCATGATATCTATGGCTGGATGGCCATCTGTTGCGAAGGCTTGGATGGTGTCCTTCCTGTCAAAAAAAGGGGGTGGAACTGATGGCCTTTGGGGGTCCCTATGATAGATAGATAGATAGATAGATAGATAGATAGATAGATAGATAGATAGATAGATATAGACAGACACACACACACACACACACAAATGATATCTATCCATGATATCTATGGCTGGATGGCCATCTGTTGCGAAGGCTTGGATGGTGTCCTTCCTGTCAAAAAAAGGGGGTGGAACTGATGGCCTTTGGGGGTCCCTATGATAGATAGATAGATAGATAGATAGATATAGATAGATAGATAGATAGATAGATAGATAGATAGATAGACACAAATGATATATGTCTATCCATGATGGATATCCATGATGGATGGCCATCTGTCAAGAAGGCTTAGATGGTGTCCTTCCTGTCAAAAAAGGGGGTGGGATTGGATGGCCTTTGGGGGTCCCTATGATAGATAGATAGGTAGGTAGATACACACACACAAATGATATATGTCTATCCATGATGGATATCCATCATGGATGGCCATCTGTCGAGGAGGCTTAGATGGTGTCCTTCCTGTCAAAAAAGGGGGGTGGGATTGGATATACAGATATGCACACACACACACACACACATATATACACACATGCACACACAGAGAGAGTAATTATACCTGTCTAGCCATAATACCTATGGCTGGGTGGCCATCTGTCGAGAAAGCTTGGGTGGTGCCCTTCCTGACAAAAAAGGGGGTGGGATTGGATGGCCTTTGGGGGTCCCTATGATAGATAGATAGATAGATAGATAGATAGATAGATAGATAGATAGACAGATATGCACACACACACATACACACACACATAGTAATCATACCTGTTTATCCATGATATCTATGGCTGGATGGCCATCTGTTGCGAAGGCTTGGATGGTGTCCTTCCTGTAAAAAAGGGGGGTGGAAATGGATGGCCTTTGGGGGTCCCTATGATTGATAGATAGATAGATAGATAGATAGATAGATAGATAGATAGATGATAGATAGATAGACAGACAGATACACACACACACACATATAGACACATACACAGACACACACAGAGTAATCATACCTGTCTATCCATGATATCTATGGCTGGGTGGCCATCTGTTGAGAAGGCTTGGATGGTGTCCTTCCCGTCAAAAAAGGGGGTAGGACTGGATGGCCTTTGGGGGTCTTCTAATACCGAGGTTCTCCTACTGTTGTGGTCCACACTATTACTGTTGTTGTTGTTGTTGTTGTTGTTGTTGTTGTGAATCGGAGGGCTTGGGTGCATCCAAGGGAGGGGTGGGGTTGGGTGTCCCTTCCCTGGGGGGCCCTTCCCCGCCCCAAGGGCCCGGATCCAAAGCCACTCCACCCCTCCCTTGTGTGCTGGCCCAGGTCCTGGACTCAAGCCTGCCTGCCTGCCAAGAAGAAGAAGAAGAAGGACTTTGCAGAAATGGGACAAGGAGGAGGAGGAGGAGGAGGAGGAGGGAGGAAGGCTTCCTGCCATTCCAGGAAAGAAAGAAAGAAAGAAAGAAAGAAGAGAAAAGAAGGAGGTCAAGCGAGGAAAAGGGGCCGAGCACCCTGGAATCATCCAGAGGGGGTGGGAGGAAAAGGAGGGTGACCGCTGCTGTTATTATGTTGGAAGGGCACCCCAGAGATCATCCAGCCCAACCCCTTCTGCCGATCCCTCTCCACAGATGGCCTCTTAATAATAATAATAATAATAATAATAATAATAATAATAATAATCCAAGCATATAGATCTCGTTTGCTGTGACATGCTGTGGTTTTGTGTCAGTAAATAATAATAATAATAATAATAATAATAATAATAATAATCTAACCAAGGGAAGGCACCACCTGATCTCTCTCCACAGATGGCCTCTCCATAATAATAATAATAATAATAATAATAATAATAATAATAATAATAATAACCACCAATGGAATCCTAGGCTTGGGAGGGGTCCTCAAAGGCCATCCAACCCAACCCCAAAAATAGTAGTAACAGTAATAATAGAAGCATAGATTCCCAATTGGGAGGGGGCCCCCAAAGGCCATCCAGCCCAACCCCCTTCTATTATCCGACGTGTGATCCAATACAACAGCCAGAAGAGTGACCTTCTCTGCTGTGGATTCATCTTGTTGTGCATCCAATAATAATAACAACAACAACAACAACAACAACAACAACAATAAGGTTGCAATGGCCCAAACTTGTATTCTTGGCATGCCTAATAATAATAATAATAATAATAATAATAATAAACAACAACAATAATACAATAGCCAGTGGAGTGATCTTGTCTGCTGGGGACTCATCTTGTTGTGTTTCTAATAATAATAATAATAATAATAATAATAATAATAATAATAATAATAATGGCTGTTGTATTGGATCCCACGTCAGACCCTTCCCAAGTGCCTAGGACTGTGTGATATATCTGCAAATAATGCGTGGAGATCTGAGTAAGGGAGCCTTTTGCAGGTTATTGTTTTTAAGTGCAGGCCAAGGTCTTGGGGCGCTGCACCCAGTGTGCCCATCACCACTGGGACCCCCTTGACTGGCTTGTGCCAGAGTAACACAAGTATGACTCACCTTTACATGTGGGTTAATAATAATAACAATAACAACAACAACAACAATATGACTCACATTTCCTAGTGGATTATAAATAATATCATAATGTAGTAATAATAATAATAATAAGAAGAAGAAGAAGAAGAATTTTGCTCACCTTTCCTTGTGGATTATAAATAATATTGTAATGTAATAATAATAGTAATAATAATAATAGATTTGCTCACCTTTCCTTGTGGATTATAAATAATATCATAAAGTAGTAATAATAATCATAATCATAATAATGGATTTGCTCACCTTTCCTTATGGATTATTATTAGTATGAGTCTTAATAATACTGGGTGGAGGAGGCCTGGCTTGGCTTGACCATCAGGAGGCCCCTTGACCTTTGGGAGTGGGTCCAAGGGGGGGAGGGGGTGCCCAGGCATTGACTGACCCCTATAGGCATGCCTTGTTCTGCATATATGCAAATGAGGGGGCGGGGCTTGTGGAGTAGGACCCCCTCCCCTCCCTGCTTTCCCTCTCTCCATCTCTCTGCTGCTGCTGCATCTCTCCCTCTCTCTCTCCTTCTCTTCCTCCTTTTTGCTCTTTCTCCTTCTTTCTCTTTTTCCTGCTGCATTGCTGCAGAAGACTCTGCACCAGGAGCACAGCCTCTCTCTCTCTCTCTCTCTTTGCCTCTTTGCAAAAAGGAAAAGGAAGAGGAAGAGAAACAGGAAAAGTTATCCCACCTCTGGACCCTTTGGATGCTCTGCTGGGACTGCAGGTGAGACAGAGGAAAGGACACCCCATCATCCACTATTATTATCATCCACTATTATCCATTATTATTATTATTATTATTATTATTATTATTATTAGAGGTTGGAGAAAGCAGCAGGATGCAAACTTTGCAGGAAGAAACTAAAATATTAAAAATACTTCTAATCATAATAATAATAATAGTAATAATAATAAGAAGTAGTATAATAATAAGTACCCCCATCACCTATTATCCATTATTATTATTATTATTATTATTATTATTATTATTATTATTGGAGAAAGCAGCAGGATGCAAACTTTGCAGGAAGAAAATAATATTTAAAAAACTATTATTATTAATAATAATAAGTATAATAATAAGTACAACCATAAATATGGTTATATTTATAATATCATAACAGTAGTTGCCAATTATTGTTAATTATATTATTATTATTATTATTATTATTATTATTGAGGTTGGAAAAAGCAGCAGCATGCAAACTTTGCAGGAATAAAATAATATTAAAAATACCACTACTAATAATATTAATAAGGAAAAAGAGTTGGATTCTAGGATTCTATGGTTGTATTATTATTAATTTATTATTATTATTATTATTATTAAGCAGAGGCTCAATGGCTGTCTGTTGGGAGGTTGGGCTAGATGGCCTTTTGGGGTACTCTAGGATCCTATGGTTCTATTATACATTATTATTTTATTTTTATATATTTATATATTTATTATTATTAATATTAATATTCTATTATATAGTATTCTATTTATTATTATATTGTTATTATTATCATCATGCTATTATTATTACATATTTATTTTTCTAATATATTATATAGTATTCTATTTATTATTATATTATTGTTATCATCAAGCTATTATATATTCATTCTTCTAATATTTATTATTATATTATTATTATTATCATCATCAAGCTATTATTATTTTATATTTATTTTTCTAATATATTATATAGTATTCTATGTATTATTATTATTGTATTGTTATTATCATCATCAAGCTATTATTATTTTATATTTATTATTCTAATATATTATATAGTATTCTATGTATTATTATTATATATTTTTATCTATCTTTATGGTAAAGGTAAAGTTTTCCCTTGATATTAACTCTAGTCGTGTCCGACTCTGGGACTTTCTAATCCAAAGAGCCGGCGTTGTCCATAGACACCTCCAAGGTCATGTGGCCAGCATGACTGCCTAGAGCACCATTGCCTTCCCGCCAGAGCGGTACCTCTTGATCTACTCACATTTGCATGTTTTTTGAATTGCTAGGTTGGCAGGAGCTGGGGCTAACAACAGGAGCTCACCCTGTTCCTCATATTCGAACCACTGACCTTTTGGTCAGCAAATTCAACAGCTCTCTCTCTCTCACTATATATATATATAAATATATTCAGGATTTGTAATCTACTCACTTTTGCATGTTTTTGAATTGCTAAGTTGGCAGGAGCTGGGGCTAACAACGGGAGCTCACCTTAGATTTGAACCATTGACCTTTCGGTCAGCAAGTTCAACAGCTCTCTCTCTATATATATATATTCAGGATCTGTGATCTACTCACATTTGCATGGTTTTGAATTGCTAGGATGGCAGGAGCTGGGGCTAACAGCAGGAGCTCACCCTACTCCTCAGATTCGAACCGCCGACCTATCGGTCAGCAAGTTCAGCAGCTCTCTCTCTCTCTCGCTATATATATATATTCAGGATCTGTAATCTACTCACATTTTTTTGAATTGCTAAGTTGGCAGGAGCTGGGGCTAACAACAGGAGCTCACCTTAGATTCGAACCATTGACCTTTCAGTAAGCAAGTTCAGCAGCTCTCTCTCGATATATATATATATATATATATATATATATATATATTCAGGATCAGCGATTTACTCACATTTGCATGTTTTTGAATTGCTCGGTTGGCAGGAGCTGGGGCTAACAGCAGGAGCTCACCCTACTCCTCAGCTTCAAACTGCCGACCTTTTGGTCAGCAAGATCAACAGCTCTCACTGTCTCTTTATATATATATATTCAGGATCTGTGATCTACTCACATTTGCATGTTTTTGAATTGCTAGGTTGGCAGGAGCTGGGGCTAACAACAGGAGCTCACCCTGCTCCTCAGATTCAAACCGCCAACCTTTCGGTGGGCAAGTTTAGCAGCTCTGTCTCTCTCTATATATATAAATATATTCAGGATCTGTGATCTACTCACATTTGCATACTTTTGAATTGCTAGGTTGGCAGGAGCTGGGGTTAACAACAGGAGCTCACCCCGCTCCTCAGATTTGAACCGCCGACATTTCGGTCAGCAAATTCAGCAGCTCTCTCTCTCTATATATATATATTCAGGATCTTTGATCTACTCACATTTGCATGTTTTTGAATTGCTAGGTTGGCAGGAGCTGGGGCTAACAACAGGAGCTCACCCTGCTCCTCATATTCAAACTGCTGACCTTTCAGTCAGCAAGTTCAACAGCTCTCTCTTTATATATATATTCAGGATCTGTGATCTAGTCGCATTTGTATTTTTTTGAATTGCTGGTTGACAGGAGCTGGGGCTAACAGCAGGAGCTCACCCTACTCCTCAGATTAGAACCCTACTCCTCAGATTAGGAGTAGGAGCTCACCCTATCCTCAGATTAGAACTCCTCAGATTAGAACTCCTCAGATTAGGATCAGCAAGTTCAGCAGCTCTCTCTCTCTCTCTCTCTCTCTATGTATATATAAATATATTCAGGATCTGTGATCTAGTTGCATTTGCATGCTTTTGAATTGCTAGGTTGGCAGGAGCTGGGGCTAACAGCAGGAGCTCACCCTGCAGCTCATATTCAAACCACCAACCTTTTGGTCAGCAAGTTCAGCAGCTCTCTCTCTCTCTCTCTCTCTATATATATATATACTCACATTTGCATGTTTTTTTAATTGCTAGGTTGGCAGGAGCTGGGGCTAACAACAGGAGCTCATCCTGCGGCTCATATTCGAACTGCCGACCTTTTGGTCAGCAAATTCAGCAGCTTCAGGATCTGTTGGGAGGGATCAGGTGGGAGTAATAAGCGGGCAGGGCTGGATGGCCTTTGGGGTTCCCTTCCCACTCTGGGATTCCACGGTTTGCTTAATTCCTGCAATGCTGAGGCTTGGATTTCTGCCTGCGGGGCTTGGGCGCAATGCTGCTGAGTCACGTTTCGGGTGCAGAAAGGAGAGGAACCCAGGAAAGAAAGAAAGGAATTATTATTATTATTATTATTATTATTATTATTATTATTTCAATATTATTACTTCCTGTAGTTTGTATTATTATTGTTATTAATAATGCAAACTGCAGCAAGCAATATAAAAAATACAATTAATAATAATAATAATGAGTGGGATAATAACAATTTAAAATTATTATTATTATTATTTTAATATTATTACTTCCTGCAGTTTGCATTATTATTATTATTATTATTATTATTATTATTATTATTATTATTTTAATATTATTACTTCCTGCAGTTTACATTATTATTATTATTATTATTATTTTAATATTATTACTTCCTGCAGTTTGCATTATTATTATTATTATTATTATTATTATTATTATTATTATTATTTTAATATTATTATTATTATTATTATTATTATTATTATTTTAATTGTTATTATTATTATTGCTATTATTATTATTATTATTATATTCATTATTATTTGATTATTATTATTATTATTATTATTATTATTATTTAATATTATTACTTCCTGCAGTTTGCATTATTATTATTATTATTATTATTATTATTATTATTATTTTAATATTATTACTTCCTGCAGTTTACATTATTATTATTATTATTATTATTATTTTAATATTATTACTTCCTGCAGTTTGCATTATTATTATTATTATTATTATTATTATTATTATTATTTTAATATTATTACTTCCTGCAGTTTACATTATTATTATTATTATTATTATTATTTTAATATTATTACTTCCTGCAGTTTGCATTATTATTATTATTGTTATTATTATTATTATTATTTTAATATTATTACTTCCTGCAGTTTGCATTATTATTATTATTATTATTATTATTATTATTATTATTTTAATATTATTACTTCCTGCAGTTTGCATTATTATTATTATTATTATTATTATTATTATTATTTTAATATTATTACTTCCTGCAGTTTGCATTATTATTATTATTATTATTATTATTATTATTATTATTTTAATATTATTACTTCCTGCAGTTTGCATTATTATTATTATTATTATTATTATTATTATTATTTTAATATTATTACTTCCTGCAGTTTACATTATTATTGTTATTAATAACGCAAGCTGCAGCAAGTAATATTAAAAATACAATTAATAATAATAATAATAATAAGCAGGATAATAACAATTTGAAAATTATTATTATTATTATTTTAATATTATTACTTGCTGCAGTTTGCATTATTATTGCTATTAATAATGCAAGCTGCGGCAAGTAATATTAAAAATACAATTAATAATAATAAAATAATAATAAAATAATTATTATTATTTTAACAAACAATAATATTTGGTTAATATTTTAACAAATAATAATAATAAAATAATAATAATAATTTTATTAATATCAAGCTGCAGCAAGTAATATTAAAAGTACAATTAATAATAATAAAATAATAATAATTAAATAAAATTATTATTATTATTATTTTAACAAACAATAATATTTGGTTAATATTTTAAAACATAATAATAAAATAAAATTATTATTATTATTAATTTAACAAACAAAACAAACAAAAATAATAATTATTATTATTTTAACAAACAATAATATTTTGTTAATATTTTAAAGCATAATAATAATAAAAATTATTATTATTATTTTAACAAACACAAAACACAAAGTTTGCAAACTTGGTAGTTGATTAAACAATAACGAAAATAAATATTATAATAATTATTATAATAAATAATTATATATAATAATTATATATAATATAATAATTAATATAATAATATAATATTATAATAATTATTATAATAAATAATAATATATAATAATTATATATAATATAATAATTAATATAATAATATAATATAATAATATAAGAATTATATATATAATATATAATAATAATATAATAATATTATTATAATTATTATAATTATTATAATAAATAATTATATATAATATATATATATAATATAATAATTAATATAATAATTAATATATATAATAACAATATAATAATATAATAATATTATTATAATTATTATAATAAATAATTATATATAATAATAATATAATATTATTATAATTATTATAATAAATAATTATATATAATAATAATAATATATATGATATAATATAATAATTAATATAATAATATAATATAATAATTATTATATATATTATATATATATATATATATAATATATAATAACATAATAATATTATAATTATTATTATTAACTCCGTATTGCAGCAGCAGCACCACACATGCATGCAAACTTGGAGGTCTTTTCTTTGCAGGATGATGAGATTTGCATGTTTACTGTTTGCAAGGTGATGGTGTTGCATGCCTGGGTCTCCTTCTTATTTGCAAGGCCGGTGAAGCCCCCTCCTCTCCTCTCTTTTTCCCAGGGAATAAATCTCTCTTGGGAAGAAAGGGAGGCCTTGTTGGGGCTTCTCCTCCGGGTCCCCGGTCTCCATGGGGAAGGAGAAAGAGAAAAGAAAGAAGGGAGGAAGGAAGGGAAGAAAGAAAGAAAGAAGGGAAGGAGGAAGGCGGGGAGGGGGGGGGTCCTGGCAGGGGTCCCGGGCGTGCAAGGCCTGCCAAGCCCGGATTCAGAGTCGCCAGGCAATGCCTCCCTTCTGCTGCGAGGGCCACTGGGGGGTGGGATTCAAATGTAATATAATGTAATATAATATAATATAATAATGTTAATTATAATATAATATAATATAATATAATATAATATAATAATAATATCTTCCAAAAATAGTGCAAAAATGGGGCAGCTTCCAAAGCAACAATAGTGCAACACACAACATACCCAACACAGCAAAACTAACCAAAATCAGTAAACAACACCAATTGACATCAAACGACAACATTCATGATTTCAATGTGACACTGCAATCAAAGTGAAATCATATATTAATAGAATATATAAAATAGAATATATATATATATATATATATATATATATATATATATATACACACAAAATGAATATCTCAATAAAATAAAAATTTAAAATAATATATATATAATTTAGAATATTAAGTAATATATGCCTTGCAGGGGGGGATTAAAATGTAACACAAATATAATAATGTTATATTATATTACATTTTAATGTAATATAATATTTAATATCTTCCCAAAATAGTGCAAAAATGGGGCAGCTTCCAAAGCAACAATAGTGCAACACACAACATACCCAACACAGCGAAACTAACCAAAATCAGTAAACAACACCAATTGACATCAAACGACAACGTTCGAGGGTCAACGTGACACTGCAATCAAAGTGAAATCATATATTAATAGAATATATAAAACAGAATATTTATATTTATATATATATATATATATATATATATATATATATATATATTAATGGAATGAATATTTCAATAAAATAAAATTTAAAAATAACATATATATATAATTTAGAATATTAAATAATATATGTATATTAATGGAATGAATATCTCAATAACATAAAATTTAAAAATTATATATGTATAATTTAGAATATTAAATAATATATATATATTAATGGAATGAATATCTCAATAAAATAAAATTTTAAAATTATATATATATATATATAATGCTGTCATATTCATATATATATATATATATATATATATACCATATATAATATATAATAATATAATATAATATTTTAATATATATATAATTCTTATATATATATATATATAGTACATATTATATATTTTATTCAAAAATATATAATAACTATAATACTGTTACATTCCTATATATATATATAATATATATAATATACTATATTATTCATATATATATATACATACATATACATATACATACTCACACCTCCCCTCTCAGTCCAGAGGTGACATGTATATAATATATATTTTATTCTAATATATATAATTATCTAATACTGTTATATTCCTATATATATATTCCTCCCTCTATGATTCTATATATAATACTATATTATTATAATATATATAATTCTTATATATGTATTGTGTGTGTGTGTATATATATATATGTATGTATATATATATATATATATATATATATATATATATTTCTTATACACACAAACATATTTCAAATAATATTATATATATGTGTGTATCTCAGCGTAACGGAGGGTTCCACTTGTGAACGCTTTCACAAAGGACGTTGCAGGGATTCTCAATGGAAATAATTATATTTTTCCAAAGGCAAAGGCAGTGAACGAAGGAAGGAAGGAAGGAAAGAAGGAGGGAGGGAAGGAAGGAAGGAGGGAAGTAAGGAAGGGCAGACAGATAAATCCTCTCTTTCGCGGCTCAACGGAGCGGAGAAGAGGACGTCTGGTTCCAAGGAAAGGTCAGCACAAAGGCCTCTTTGTTGTTGTCCTTGGGCCTCCTTGGCCCGGATCCTCCTCAGAAGCAGGCGGAGGGCCATCCGCTCCAGACTGCAGTCCGAACTGTAAAGGGCCCAAAGTGGTGGGCTCTATCCCTCTCAATAGGGCTAGCACAGGCTGTCCCTGAGCTACAAACACCGGACTTGCAAATGACTCCTAGTTAAGAACGGGGCTGGACTGGATGCCCTTTGGAGGCCCCTTCCACATCTAGGATACTATATATCTCTCATAAACACACACATATATATATACAGGATGTCTTCAAGTTACAAACATCCCACTGACCAATGACTCCTAGTTAAGAACGGGGCTGGATTGGATGGCCTTTGAGAGCCCTTTCCACATCTGGGATACCATATTTATCTCATAAACACACACACACACACATATGTGTATGTATACAGGCTGTCTTCAAGTTACAAACATCCGACCGACAAATGACTTCTAGTTAAGAACGGGGCTGGACTGGGTGGCCTTTGGGGGCCCCTTCCACATCTAGGATACTACATCTAATATACATAGATAGGTAGAAAGATACATGCCGTCCCTGAGTTACAACCATCTGGCTCAAAAATGACTCACAGTTAAGAACAGGGCTGGACTGGATAGCCTTTGGGGGACCCTTCCACATCTGGGATACCATATTTATCTCATAAACACACACACACACACACACACGTGTGTGTATGTGTGTGTGTGTGTGTGTGTATATATATATATCCATACAGCCTGTCCTCAAGTTACAAACATCCGACCGACAACGGGGCTGGACTGGGTGGCCTTTGGGGACCCCTTTCAAATACAGACTACTACATTCATCTCATATACATAGACAGGTAGAAAGATACATGCCGTCCCTGAGTTACAAACATCCGACTGACAAATGACTCCTAGTTAAGAACGGGGCTGGACTGGGTGGCCTTTGGGGGCCCCTTCCAAATCCGGGATACTACATCTATCTCATACATATAGATAGGTAGAAAGATAGAGACAGATACATTGTCAGGAGTCAATTTCTGATGGCGTGAAGACATCACAAATTCCCTCCGTGACCTCCTGGCTGAATCACCCTGGCTGAATCCATTCTCTCTCTGTGACGTTTTGAAGTGCTGGAAACCTTGTGTTGGAACTTGTGAAGCAACCAGTTCTAAGAAGGAAATTGAGGAGATGGGCAGGAAGGGTGTCGAAAAGGAAGTGGTGGTGGGGAAAAGTCCGTAGTGTCTTCCTTTGCTGAAGAGAAACAAGCAATGTATCCATTTCAAAGCAGAGCCGGCTTGTGAGTAGTTATTTAATATTGCTATAGAGATCCTACAGTCTGACATCCATAGATAATATATGCCATGTTTGTAAAAACGACTCACAGTTAAGAACGAGGCTGGACTGGATGGCATTTGGGGCCCCTTCCACATCTATACTATTACAGTATTACAACATCTATTTAATATATATACAGATAAAGGCTGTTCCTGAGTTACCAACACCCGACTTGCAGTTGAGAGTGGAGTGGACTTGTGGGGGTCCCTTCCAAATCTAGGACACTATATCTATCTCATATAGAGAGACACCAGGAGATCCCGGTGGCACAGTGGGTTAAACCGCTGATCTGCAGAACTCGCTGACCAAAATGTTGGCGGTTCGAATCTGGAGAGTGGGGTGAGCTCCCACTGTTAGCCCCAGCTCCTAGCATTTTGAAAACATGCAAGTGTGAGTAGATGAATAGGAGCCTGTTCCGCCTTCCATGCAGATGCGACTTCCGAGCAACCCACCCTCTGCCCCCCCTCTCTCCCCCCCCCAGGTGCCATGATGGCCTTGCTGCTGGCCTTCTTCTCCGCCGTGGCCCCGCTCGCCCCACTCGCGGCCGGGTTCCCCTCCTCCAGGGAAAACACAGGTAAACCTTTTGCTTCTTTGTTGATGTCTTTGCAAATCAGGCCTCTCAGTTGTTAGACTGATATCCCTGATTATCTCTCCGAACTGTCAGGAACACAGACATGCCAATGCACAACATATACGAGGGTTGAATGAAAAGTAATGCCTCCACTTTGTAACTCCTCAACAGATGGCAGGACTGGTATGCGGCAGGTACTGGCTTGTTCAGTAGACTCTCCGCTACAGTTCCATTTCAGCAGGAAGCCTTAGTATTGAACGGTTGCGTTGTTAAAGTACGAAGTATGGAAACCTGCGTAGACAGTCGGTCAATGCGGCTTAACCAATGTATGCAGCAAGTACTGGCTTGTTCAGTAGACTCTCCTCTACAGTTCCATTTAAGCAGGAAGCCTTCACATTGAATGGTTGTGTTGTTGAAGTGTGAAGTATAGAACCCTGTGCAGACTGTCAGTCAATGTGACTTAAGTAATGTATGTGGCAGATACTGGCTTGTTCAGTAGACTCTCCTCTACAGTTCTATTTTGGCGGGAAGCCTTAGCATTGAACGGTTGTGTTGTTAAAGTGCAAAGTATGGAGTCCTGCACAGACGGTCGGTCAATGCGACATAATCAAAGTATGTGGCAGGTACTGGCTTGTTCAGTAGACTCTCCTCTACAGTTCCATTTTAGCAGGAAGCATTGAAGTCACATTGCGCAGGGTTCCATACTTCACACTTTAACAACACAACCGTTCAATGCTAAGGCTTCCCGCCAAAATGGAACTGTAGAGGAAAGTCTACTGAACAAGCCAGTACCTGCCGCATACCAGTCCTGCCATCTGTTGAGGAGTTACAAAGGGGAAGGCATTACTTTTCATTCAACCCTCGTACATAGCAGATCTTCAGAAGTGTGATTTCAGTTGCCCCAAAAACATCAACTCTCCCATAAAATTATATCATGCTCTCAAGAGACCAAAAACAAGTGCTTTGTTAAAAGTAACAGAGTTGATTTACTCACCAACCTTTATGTACACGGCATAGAGGGATCTTGTTTCTGGCTTCAGAGTTTAAACAGTCTGTTCTCAAAAGCCTTCTGCTCCAGTCTCCCCTTCACTCTCCCAGTTGTATTATGCATAACATACATTATGTATATCTTATATATACCATATATATATTATATAATAGATATTATGTTTATATTACATATACATTATGTTTATATTATATAATACAATACATTATGAAAGATATGTAAAATACATTATGTATACATTATACAATATATATGTTTGCATATATAGGTATGTCTGAATATATATATAGAGAGAAAGAGCCAGAATTTTGTTTCGAGAGGCATATAATATATATACACACACACACATGTATATCTACATACGTTCTCTCTCTCTCTAAATATATATAGAGAGACAGAATTTTGTTTTGAGGGGCATATAAAAATATATATTACATACACATACAGTCTCTCTGTCTCTTTCTCTCCCTCTCTCTCTATATATATACATAGGCAAGAACTTGCATCTAGAGAGGCATATGCTTATCCCGTCTGCTGAGGCATTACGAAGGGGGAGGCATTACTTTTCATTCAACCCTCGTACATAGTAGATCTTCAGAAGTGTGATTGCAGTTGCCCAAAAAACATCAACTCTCCCATAAAATTATATTGTGTTGTCAAGAGACCAAAAATAAGTGCTTTGTTAAAAGTAACAGAGTTGATTTACTCACCAACCTTTATGTACTCGGCATAGAGGGATCTTGTTTCTGGCTTCAGAGTTCAAACAGTCTGTTCTCGAAAGCCTTCTGCTCCAGTCTCTCCTCTGTTGCACACAGACTCACACTCTCCCAGTCTTAACACAATGGCTCTCAGCCTGTGGGTCCCTCCCAAGGTGTTTTGGGCTACAACTCCCAGAAATCCCAGCCAGTTGTTAGGATTTCAAAACACCTGGGGAGGGCCCCACAGGCCACTGAGAACCACTGGTCTAATGCATTACTGAACATTGACTCAATACAGACTGCACTAGTATTCATACAAGGCGAATCAGGCCTCTCAGTTGTTAGACTGATATCCCTGATTATCTCTCTGAACTGTCAGGAACACAGATATGCCAATGCACAACATATACGAGGGTTGAATGAAAAGTAATGCCTCCCCCTTCGTAACTCCTCAACAGATGGCAGTAAAGTGCGAAGTATGGAACCCTGCACAGACGGTCGTGAATGCGATTTCAGTGCTAAGGCTTCCTGCTAAAATGGAACTGTAGAGGAAAGTCTACTGAACAAGCCAGTACCTGCCACATACGTTGCTGAAGTCGCGTTAACCAACCGTCTGCACAGGGTTTGATACTTCGCACCTTAACAACACAACAGTTCAATGCGAAGACTTCCTGCTAAAATGGAACTGTAGAGAGAGTCTACTGAACAAGCCAGTACCTGCTGCATACCAGTCCTGCCATCTGTTGAGGAGTTACGAAGGGGGAGGCATTATTTTTCATTCAACCCTCGTACATAGCAGATCTTCAGAAGTGTGATTGCAGTTGCCCAAAAAACATCAACTCTCCCATAAAATTATATCATGCTCTCAAGAGACCAAAAACAAGTGCTTTGTTAAAAGTAACAGAGTTGATTTACTCACCAACCTTTATGTACTCGGTATAGAGGGAGCTTGTTTCTTGCTTCAGAGTTTAAACAGTCTGTACTCGAAAGCCTTCTGCTCCAGTCTCTTCTCTGTTGCACACAGACTCACACTCTCTTCAGTCTAACACAATGGCTCTCAGCCTTGGCTCCCTCCCCAGGTGTTTTGGGCTACAACTCCCAGAAATCCCAGGCAGTTGTTAGGATTCCTGGGAGTGGAAGGCCAAAACACCTGGGGAGGGCCCCACAGGCCACTGAGAGCCACTGGTCTGATGCATTACTGAACATTGACTCAATACAGACTCCACATTAAACTGTCCTGCTTCGGGTGCAAACTCCAACACGCACTGTACTGGCTTCTGAAACGGAGTCTCGGTCTGAATAGGCCCAGATCTGCAGCCCCTCCCACAACCTCAAACATATAGAGTGAAGGGAAACTGCATACAACATAGTCAGAAATCACAATTATACACATAATAAGACATATCTAGTATAACCCTAACGCGCACTGTACTGGCTTCTGAAACGGAGTCTCGGTCTGAATAGGCCCAGATCTGCAGCCCCTCCCACAACCTCAAACATATAGAGTGAAGGGAAATTGCATACAACATAGTCAGAAATCACAATTATACACATAATAAGACATATCTAGTATAACCCTAACGCGCACTGTACTGGCTTCTGAAACGGAGTCTCGGTCTGAATAGGCCCAGATCTGCAGCCCCTCCCACAACCTCAAACATATAGAGTGAAGGGAAATTGCATACAACATAGTCAGAAATCACAATTATACACATAATAAGACATATCTAGTATAACCCTAACGCGCACTGTACTGGCTTCTGAAACGGAGTCTCGGTCTGAATAGGCCCAGATCTGCAGCCCCTCCCACAACCTCAAACATATAGAGTGAAGGGAAATTGCATACAACATAGTCAGAAATCACAATTATACACATAATAAGACATATCTAGTATAACCCTAACGCGCACTGTACTGGCTTCTGAAACGGAGTCTCGGTCTGAATAGGCCCAGATCTGCAGCCCCTCCCACAACCTCAAACATATAGAGTGAAGGGAAACTGCATACAACATAGTCAGAAATCACAATTATACACATAATAAGACATATCTAGTATAACCCTAACGCGCACTGTACTGGCTTCTGAAACGGAGTCTCGGTCTGAATAGGCCCAGATCTGCAGCCCCTCCCACAACCTCAAACATATAGAGTGAAGGGAAATTGCATACAACATAGTCAGAAATCACAATTATACACATAATAAGACATATCTAGTATAACCCTAACGCGCACTGTACTGGCTTCTGAAACGGAGTCTCGGTCTGAATAGGCCCAGATCTGCAGCCCCTCCCACAACCTCAAACATATAGAGTGAAGGGAAATTGCATACAACATAGTCAGAAATCACAATTATACACATAATAAGACATATCTAGTATAACCCTAACGCGCACTGTACTGGCTTCTGAAACGGAGTCTCGGTCTGAATAGGCCCAGATCTGCAGCCCCTCCCACAACCTCAAACATATAGAGTGAAGGGAAACTGCATACAACATAGTCAGAAATCACAATTATACACATAATAAGACATATCTAGTATAACCCTAACGCGCACTGTACTGGCTTCTGAAACGGAGTCTCGGTCTGAATAGGCCCAGATCTGCAGCCCCTCCCACAACCTCAAACATATAGAGTGAAGGGAAACTGCATACAACATAGTCAGAAATCACAATTATACACATAATAAAAATCACAATTATATACATAACAACAAATACCTAGTATAGGAGATTCGTAGAAGGTTGCTATTTCCAACAGATGATGATGATGATGATGATGATGATGATGATGATGATGATGATGAAAGGACCCTTTTCCCTTGGCTTGCCCCTTCTAGATGACCTCAAGGCCCTGAGGGTCTCCATCGCACGGCACCCCCCTCCCAAGGCGGTCCTGGCCGGCAGCTTGACCCTTCCCTGCCGCGTGACCTTCCTCCGCCCGATGGCCACTCCACCTGGCCCGCCCCGGGTGAAGTGGTCCTTCCTGTGGGAAGGGTGGGAGGCAGAGGTGCTGGTGGCCCGGGGGGCAAAGGTCAAGCTGGGGCCGGGCTACGAAGGCCGGGCGGCGCTGCCTTTCTACCTGGACGACCCCTCGGACGCTACTCTGACCCTTGACCAGCTGCGGACAAATGACTCTGGAATCTTCCGCTGCGACGTCCAGCACGGCATCGAGGACGGGCACGACACCCTGGAGGTCAAGGTCAAAGGTCAGTATGCACAGTTGGCCATGTTGGAAGTGTGTGCCAAGTTTGGTCCAGATCCATCGTTGGGTGGGTTCAGTGCTCTCTGGATGCAGGTGAACTACAACTCCCAGATTCCCAGGGCAATCACCCCAAACCCTGCCAATCTTCACAGTTGGCCATGTTGGGTCTGTGTGCCAAATTTGGTCCAGATCCATCGTCAGCTGAGTTCAGTGCTCCCTGGACAAGGGTGAACTACAACTCCCATATCCCAAGGTCAACTCTCTTTGAACCCCACCAGTATGCATACTTGGCCATGTTGAGTCTGTGTGCCAAGTTTGGTTGAGATCCCTCATGTGCTGGGTTCAGTGTTGTCTGAATGCGAGTGAACTATAACTCACCCCAAAGTCCACCAGTATGCCACGTTGGCAGCGTTGAGTCTGTGCAAGTTTGGTCCAGATCCATCACTGGTGGGGTTCAGAGGGCTCATGGAATACAGGTGAACTATAACTCCCAGAGTTAAAGGTCAGTCACCCCCAAAGTCCACCAGTATTCCCAGTTGGCCATGATGAATTTGTGTGCCAAGTTTGGTCCCGATCCATCATCAGATGGGTTCAATGTTCTCCGAATACAGGTGAACTATAATTCCCGGGTGTCGTGGTCAATCACCCCCAAACCCCACCAGTATGCAAAGTTGGCCATGCTGGGTCTGCATGCCAAGTGAGTTCCAGGTCCATCGTTGGCGGGGTTCAGAGTGCAGTTCTTAGATTGCAGGTGAACTATACATCCCAGTCCCTATCATGGTGAATTCTCCCCAAAGCTCGCTCTCTAGTGCGTTCAGTTGGTGTGTGCCATAGGAAAGAATAGGAAAGGGTTAAGGGAGAGAGAAAGGAACACTGGGATGTGGCGCTCCCTGTAACCTGGAAGGTCCTTGGAGGGAGGGCTCTGGTGGCTCCCCAGCACCGTGGGCTAAAGCTATTGGTGGTGGGCGTATTGTTATCATTATTATTATTATCATTATTATTATTATTATTACGTTATATTTATAATATTGATATTTTTATATTTTTATTATAATATATTATTATATATATTATATTATTATTATTATTTTATAAGGATAATAAAATAATAATATTTATATTTTATTATAATTTCTTATTATTATTAAAGATTATATTATATTACTATTATTATTTTATACTATTTATAAAATATATTTATAATATTTATATTTTATTATATTATAGATTATATTATATTATTATTACTTTATACTATTTATAAATATATATTTATTATTTTATAAGATTATATTATATTATTATTATTTTATAATATTTATACAATATATTTATAATATTTATATTTTATTGTAATATATTATTATAGATTATATTATTATTATAATATTTATAAAATATATTATATTTATATTTATATATATATTATTATTATAATTATAATATATTTATAATATTTATAAAATATTTAAATATATATTATATAATATATTATATTATATTATATATTATATTTTATAGATTATATATATATTATATTTATAATATTTATAAAATATATTATATTTATATTTATATTATTATTATAATATATATATTATATTATTTTATAAGATTATATTATATTATTATATTTTAATATTTATAAATATATTTATTAATTATATATTTTATTTAATATATATTATTATATTATTTTATAATATTAATAAATATATTCATAATATTTATATTTTATTATATTATTATATATTATATATTATTATTATAGATTATACGATATTATTATTATTTTATAAGATTATATTATATTATTATTATTTTATAATATTTATACAATATATTTATAATATTTATATTTTATTGTAATATATTATTATAGATTATATTATTATTATTTTATAATATTTATAAAATATATTATATTTATAATATTTTTATTTTTATTATAATATATTATTATTTTAGATTATATTATATAGAGTCATAGTATCAAAGAGTTGGAAGAGACCTAATGGGCTGAAGTTGGACCTAAGTCACGCTGACCCTTCAGACCAGGTATATCCAACGCTGTACCTGTCTCCCTTCCCTTTACCGTCTCGTCCCGTCCCACCTGGCAGGGGTGGTGTTCCTCTACCGAGAAGGCTCCTCCCGTTACGCGTACACCTTCGCAGAGGCCCAGGAGGCTTGCGCCCGCATCGAAGCCCAGATCGCCAGCCCCGAGCAGCTCTACGCGGCCTACCTGAGCGGATACGAGCAGTGCGACGCCGGGTGGATCGCCGACCAGACCGTCAGGTGGGAGCCCCGTGCCGTCACCTGAATTACACGCTTGATACTATACTGTGCTATATTTACTGCAACAGGGTGTAAGAATCTAATTCATATATTATATTATACTAGCCGTCCCCTGCCACGCATTGCTGTGGCCCACATGGGGGTTCTGTGTGGGAGGTTTGGCCCAATTCTATCGTTGGTGGGGTTCAGAATGCTCTGATTGTAGGTGAACTATAAATCCCAGCAACTACAACTCCCAAATGTTAAGATTCTATTTTCCCCAAACTCCACCAGCATTCACATTTGGACATACTGAGTATTTGTGTAGAGTTTGGTCCAGATCCATCCTTGTTTGAGTCCACAGTGATCTCTGGATGGAGGTGAACTACAACTCCAAAACCAAAGGACACTGCCCACCAAACCCTTCCAGTATTTTCTCTTGGTCGTGGAAGAACTGTGTGCCAAGTTTGGTTCCATTCCATCGTTGGTGGGGTTCAGAATGCTCTTTGATTGTAGGTGAACTATAAATCCCAGCAACTACAACTCCCAAATGAGAAATCATGATTTTTTGAGTGATGGTCACTCCTTGTGTTGTGAGACGTTTTGTTGCCAAATTTGGTGTGATTTTGCTCATTGGTCCTTTTGTTTTTAAGGTACGAATGACGCACCGAGCATTTTTATATATATAGATATTGATTGTAGGTGAACTAGAAATCCCAGCAACTACAACTCCCAAATGACAAAATCCTAATGTTTTGAGTGATGGCCACTCCTTGTGTTGTGAGATGTTTTGTGGCCAAATTTGGTGTGATTTCGCTCATTGGTCCTTTTGTTTTTAAGGTACTCATGACGCACAGAGCATTTTTTATATATAGATATTGATTGTAGGTGAACTATACATCCCAGCAACTACAACTCCCAAATTACAAAATCATATTTTTTTGAGTGACGATTACTCCTTGTGTAGTGAGACGTTTTGTGGCCAAATTTGGTGTGATTTCGTTCGTTGGTTCTTTTGTTTTTAAGGTACTTATGACGCACAGAACATTTATATATATATATAGATATAAATCCCAGCAACTACAACTCCCAAATGACAAAATCCTAATGTTTTGAGTGATGGCCACTCCTTGTGTTGTGTTTTGTGGCCAAATTTGGTGTGATTTCGCTCATTGGTCCTTTTGTTTTTAAGGGACTCATGACGCCCAGAGCATTTTTATATAAATAGATTGTGGGACCAGCCCTGATGATTACCATATTATGCAAATCTGGTGCGCGCCCTAATTGTGGGAAAGGTGAGCCTGAGAGTGAGCGGGGTCTCCCCCCCCCCCAATTTGGCGCAGGTACCCCATCCAGACCCCGAGGGAGGCCTGCTACGGCGACATGGAGAGCTTCCCCGGCGTCCGCAACTACGGCGTCGTCGACCCCGAAGACCAGTACGACGTCTACTGCTACGTGGAGGAGCTCTACGGTCAGCGGGAAGGAGATGGGGGTGGGATTTGTAGTTTACCTGGCCTTTCTCATCCTGCAGGGGACTCAGAGCGGATTACAATGCACATACATGGCAAACATTCAATGCCACAGACACACAACACATACAGACAGCCACTCAGAGGCTATTTCACTTTCCAATTTTCTGGCCACCGGGGGAGCTGTCGCTTCACCTTCCATCTGCGACACTGATGATGAAGTGCTTTCTCATTCTTTGCATGCTTGCTGGAGATTTTTATGGCCTCGTAAATTAGTTAAATTAGCCTCCCCACACAGAGGTGGTACCTAAATCTCCTCCTTGACAGATGCAGCTGTCTTTCGGGATGCAAAGGTCGACAGCAAGCTACACAATTGGTCGGAAGCTCACTCCGACCCGGGCTGGCTTCGAACTCATGACCTTTCGGTCAGTAGTGATCGTAATGCAGCGGACACCCAGCCACAATCCCGGTGTAATTTGAAAGTTAAAAGGGCATTCAGAGGCATCTATATATATTATTATTGTTCTATTGTTATTATTATTATTATTATTATTATTATTATTACTCTATTATTATTATTATTATTATTATTATTACTTTATTATTATTACACTATTATTATTACACTATTATTATTACATTATTATTATTATTATTATTATTACTCTATTATTATTATTATCATCATTATTACTATTATCACTCTATTATTATCATTATTATTATTATTACTCTATTATTATTGTTATTATTTATTATTATTACTACTCTATTATTATTATTATTATTACTCTATTATTATTATTATTATTATTATTATTATTACTCTATTAGAGCTCTTAAAGTGTGCGTACATATTTTTGGGACATCCTCCAAAATAGATTCATATTGTACATATAAAATCTGTCTACCAGGATTAAAAAAACTCTAAAATTATAACAGTAAATAAAAAACAACACTCAAACACAGGGGAACTCCAGACAAGAAACAATCCGGGACAGCTAATCACCTCTCAACAAAAGATTCCCCCAGGCACTGCCTGGGAGAATCTATGCGGCCTGTCAAATGGAATGATTTGATAATGGAACTGCTTGATGATAATGAGATGCTAATGATGTTGTTTTGATTGTTTTGTGGTGTTTTATACTGTTTAATGTGTGTCTCTCCCCCCCCCCCAATCTTCCCTTGTGGTCACTTGACCCTTCTGTCTATTGCAGGTGAGCTCTTCGTGGTCAGCTCCCCGCAGCGGTTCTCGTGGCCGGAGGGTCGGGAGGCGTGCGAGGCGCTGGGGGCGTCCGTGGCCACCACCGGCCAGCTCTACGCGGCCTGGAGCCAAGGCCTGGACCACTGCAACCCCGGCTGGCTGGCCGACGGCAGCGCCCGCTACCCCATCGTGACCCCACGGGAGAAGTGCGGGGGGACCGTCCCCGGGGTCAAGACCCTCTTCCGCTTCCGCAACCAGACCGGCTTCCCGGACCCACAGACCGGCAGATACGACGTCTTCTGCTTCCGAGGTGAGCGGGCGCCTCCTGCCCTCATCCCGTATTCCCTCCCCGATCGCAGGTGATACGTAACGGCACTTCCTCCTTCCTGTTGGACGTCGGCCACATCCTGCACAAGTGTATAGTCCTCAACAAGGAGAGAGGTGGGCAGAATCGAGGTTTAGAGTCCTCAAAAAGGAGATAGAGAGGCATGTGTACGTTAGACTGATGTTTTGTAATATCTGAGCACACGGCAAGCCCTGAGCCTGATGTAGAGCTAAAATTTAGGGGTCTTTGCCAGGAGGCAGAGACCAATTAGACTCATCAAAGAGTTCTTTTTCCCTGGCGAGACAGAGAAGCATCCCATATTTTTCCCTGATTTCCCAATGAAAAGTCTCACCAGTTGAAGAAAAGCCATCCAAGTTTATTGCGATTCAGCTGAAACGGATGCGAAGCTGCAATCATTTGCCAAAGCTAAGCATGAGGGGAGTACACCAATGCAGTCATATTTATAGTAAATTCAAAGTTGCAGAGTTCAAACTCCCCGCCCCAGCTTCCCGTTGTTCCCCGCCATGATTGGGCGATGGGCGAACAGCTGGGAGGTGGTCCTCCCCCCCCGGTGCCTCTGGACCAATCAGGAAGCTCCAGTGGTCCGTAGGATCCAATGGGGAGACCTCTGCCACCTGGTGGTGACAGCAAATCAGGAGAGAGGGAGGTGGGATGAGGGAGCACAAAGGAATATGGGAAAGGAGTCTTTAAACAAAGGAAATGCCATGTGGCCTGAGACAAAAAGCTCAAACAGGGCCGATCTATTGTGTTCATGAGTGTTGTGAATCAACATGTGTAAAAATATCCAGATCCTTCCTGGCTGTGAGACAGGAGAACAATGATGGCAGCCTGAGGTTAATGCTAAGTAAACAAAAGCAAAGCGGAAGATTTCCCCTTATCTTACAGAAACTTTTGCCAAACAATTCTTTACTCTAGTGGGCCATCTTCCGAGGCTAGAGATAAGAATCTCCTTCTTTTATCCATGCAAGTGTGTCTTTGGCGGGAGGTTTCAGTAACCGCTAATGGCTTTTGTTTCTGAAGGCCAGGGGGTTCCCTTACGTATTTCTTTGGAGGGAGAAGGGGCAAATGGTCAGGAATACAAGGAAACATAAAAACCATATAGAAATTATACACAGGGAAATCATATGCAGCTATCTTCCCACCCAGGGCCCCAGAGAGAGATTAATAATACCAATTATAAAAAGCAGACGATGTCAGGACACAGCATGAATTCATAAGTTGTCTTGGAGAAAGTTCATGGGTAGAGAGCGAGTCCTTGAAGAGAGTGAAGTCCAGGAATGTGGCAGAATTCAAAAAGCCACCAAAGGGAGTCTATGGAGTTCCACTGGGCCAAGGCACAAAGCCCTGCAGCGCTGGGATGGAAGCCGGTCCCATGGTCCTTGGAAAACTACAGCTCTCTCTCTCTCTCTCTCGAGAAGCAGAGACCCCAAGGTCTAGCCATTCCCAAAGTTTCATGGGGTCATTGTTGTTAAGGCCTTGACAAATTGACCAAGACTTAACCCCTATTGTACAGTCTGGTACCTTTGTCCTTTGCAGAACTATAAGTCACCATCCCTTGTTAGGGGGGGGCATGCTCGACTTCAGAGAGAGGCAAGATGTCTGCAGGGAAATGGATGTTGCCGATTTACCATTTCTAAAACGCTTTCTTCCTTTTTTTTGGAAATGGCTCGACACAGAAGAGAGCCCGGCAGGGCCCGAAGCTCCAGCGGCCGAGTCCGAGATCGTGACGGTGACGGAGCGGATGGAGGAGCTGCACCTGCCCCCCGCCATGGAGTCTGGCCCGGCCAAGGAGTCCCGGGGGGCCATCTACGCCGTGCCCCTTCCCCAGGAGGCGCCGCCCCAAGAGGGTCCCCACCAGACTGAGGAACCCCCCGGGGGGCACCACTCGGGGGGCAAAGGGGGTTGCCGCCTCGCCATCTCCGGCCGGGAAGCGGGGTACCCGGGCTGCGCAGAGGGACACCTGCACACAGGTATGCAAGGGAGGAAGGGAACGGGGGGGGGGCATTTGGGGAGGGGCAAATCCTTCCTGGTGGAGGAAGCAGTTAAGAAAGGGAAAGCGGCAACAGTTTAGCAGAGCGGAAGCTCCTTGCGCACAGCAGCAGAGCCCACGTGCTGCCTCCACGGACAGGAGCAGAGCCCAGATTGGGAAGTCTCACCCAAGACTTGAGGGAAGGAACGACGCTTCTAGGTAGTCTGTCTACCTATCCATCTCTCTACCTGCCTATCTACCTACCTACCTACCTCTCTATCTACTTGTCTGTGTGTTTCCCTCTTTGTCCGTCTATTAATTCATCTATCTACCTACATAACTATCTGTCTGTCTGTCTATCCATCTACCTACCTACCTACCTGTCTATCGGTCTGCCTAGACTGGCCCTACATATCCACACCTACATATCTGTCTGTATGCTCCCTATCTGTCTGTCTGTTTGTCTGTCTGTCTATCTATCTATAAATCTATCTAGCCATCCGCCCTTCCATCCATCCATCCATCCATCCATCCATCCATCCATCCATCCATCCATCCATCTACCTACATATCTGTCGTTCACTCTATCTATATAGCTCCCTATCTATCCATCTAACCATTTAACCATGTATGTATGTATGTATGTATGTATGTATGTATGTGTCTATCTGTCATTCACTCTATCTATCTATCTATCTATCTATCTATCTATCTATCTATCTATCTATCTATCTATCTACATATCTCTCTACCTGTGTATCTTGTGTATCTATCTAGTCTATCGATTGATCTACATTCCAGAGCTAGCTATCCAGCCACCCTTCCATCCATCTATCCATCCATCCACCAATCCATTTCTCTCTCTCTCTCTCTCTCTCTCTCTCTCTCTCTCTCCATCCTTCCATCCACCAATCCATCTGTCTGTCTGTCCATCCATCCATCCATTCACCAATCCATTTATCTCTATCTATCTATCTATCTATCTATCTATCTATCTATCTATCTATCTATCTATCTATCTATCTATCTGTCCACCCGTCCATCCATTCACCAATCCATTTCCCTATCTATCTATCTATCTATCTATCTATCTATCTATCTATCTACATATCTACCTACCTACCTACCTACCTACCTATCTCTCTATCTATCTAGGGAGATACTTTCCTACCTACCTCCATATTTACATATCCACCCACCTACCTACCTATGTATCTATCTATGTATCTATCTCTATCTATCTATCTATCTATCTATCTATCTACCTACCTACCTACCTACCTACCTACCTATGTTCCTATCTACTTACCTACCTACCTACCTACCTACCTACCTACCTACCTATGTACGTATCTATCTATCTATCTATCTATCTATCTATCTATCTATCTATCTATCTATCTATCTATCTATCTATCTATCTATCTACATACCTACCTGTCTACATATCTGTCTACCTATTGAGCTACGCTATCTATCTATCTATCTATCTATCTATCTATCTATCTATCTATCTGTTTATCTACATATCTCCCTACCTACCTACCAACCCATCTCTCTATCTATCTAGGGAGATACCTTCCTTCCCCCCTCCATATTTACCTATCTACCTACCTATCCATCTCTATTTATCTCCCTGTCTCTCTCTCTCCATGCTCACAGGAGGAGAACAAAATCAGGAACCCCCCCCCCCAAAGCAAATGTGGGGCATGTGAGGTCATTGAGGGCCTTCCATGTAATTTGGGGTGGGGTCTTGATGACCTCACTTGCCCCACCCCCACCCCTTTTTGTGTCTTTGCAGAGGAGGAGTCCGGCCCCGAGGAGGACGGAGGAGAGTTCGATTCGGAGGACGAGTGGATGATGCACCCCCTGCAAGAGGAAGAAGAGGAAGATGATGAGGAGGAGGAGGAGGAGGATGATGAAGATGATGATGATGAAGAAGAAGACCTTCTTGTTGGGACTGTGGACCCCACAGCGGTCCAAGTGGTCAGCAGCGAGGCCTCTCCGTCTCCTAGCAACAACGACAACAACAGCAGCATCTCCGAGGAGGAGAGTGGACCTCACGACGAGGATGATGAGGATGATGCGGGGGCACAGGGAGGGGGTCGCGACCCCAAAGGTGACCCCTCCGAAGCCTTGTCCATCCTCCCTCTGGAGCAGATGGAGAAGGAGGCCTCTGTCCACTACGGTCAGTCTCAGGAGGAAGATATAGGTGGCCTTCCTCTTCAGAGGACCACTCCGGCCACTGATGAAGAAGAGGCTTCCGGAGCCCCGACGGTCAAGCCTTCCAGTGTCCTGAATGGCCAGAAGCGCATTGGTCCAGTGTGGCTCTGGCCGGCTGCGGCCACTGTTGTCAGTTTGGGTCATCACGATGAAAATGAGGATGAAGTAGTGACTGCTGCTATGGTCAGTTTGGACCATCATGATGATGATGAAGAAGAAGTAGTGACCACTAGTATGGTCAGTTTGGATCACGATGGCGATGATGATGTAGTGGTCAGTTTGGGTCATCATAACGATGGTGTTGAAGTGGTGACTGCTGCTGTGGTCAGTTTGGGTCATCATAACAATGATGAAGTGGTGACCGCTGCTGTGGTCAGTTTGGGTCGACACAACGACAATGACCAAGAGCAGGAAAATGACCCCTCGACCTTGATTGACCCATTGACCACAGGCTTGACCCCAAGTGACCACTCGACCCCAAGCCAAGAAGATTCAGGTCCAACGTCCACCGAAGAGGAAGAAGAAGACCTCTCTGGCCGTTCCTCCTTGACCCGGTCATCCTTTGCTGACCGCTTGACCAGCGCTCGGCCCCTTCTGCCCACCCAAAGGGCCAGTTTAGGCAGCCGGGCAGCGGCCGGAGGGGTCGCCTCAGGTAACCTCGGGGTCTTTGTAGCCACGCTGACCGTGGCCGCAGTCTTGACCGGCCCTTCCTTCTAACCGGACTAACTGACCGCTCCCTTTCTCTCGGACCAAGGAAGCCTCTCCTACTTCTGTGAAGTGTTTTAACGACTCTTTCCCTGAAAAAACGAGAAGGAACGGGCGGGACGGGACCGGACCTCCGAAAAGAACGAAACAACGTCTGTCTCGCGACCACGTTTTGCGTCTCTCTCTCTCTCTTTCCGCGTCTTGCATGCCTTCGCTTTCCACACTCACCCACTAACACTCACAACACAACACAACACTTCTGGCTCCGGATTGACACGGCCACGCAAAAGGGCCTTTTTTTGGGGGGGGGGGAGGTATAGGGACATATAGGGATCCCCATTTTGCCAGGCCTGCCCTTTGACCCGGAAGGTCTTCCAAAGAGCTGCTATTATTATTATTATTATTATTATTATTATTATTATTTATATCCATTTTTTCTGTCCACAAAGGAGATTCAAAGTGGCTATCTATTATTATTATTATTATTATTATTGTTATTATTGTTATTGTTATTATTATTTACACCCTATCTTATCTCTCCACAAAGGAGACTCAAAGTGGCTATCTATTATTATTATTATTATTATTATTATTATTATTATTATTATTATTATTATTTACACCCTATCTTATCTCTCCAGAAAAGAGACTCAAAAGGGCTTATTATTATTGTTGTTATTATTATTATTATTATTATTATTTATATCCATTTTTTTCTCTCCACAAAGGAGGCTCAAAGCAGCTATCAATTTGCAGTATTGGAATGCATTATTATTGTTATTATTATTATTTCTATATATAATACTATATTATGAGTTTCCAAATTACATTAAAAAAGTGGATTGGCATAGCCCCTATTATTATATTATTATTATTATTATTATTATTATTATTATTATTATTATTATTATATTATTATTATTTCTATACATAATATTATGAGTTTCCAAATTACATTTAAAAAGTGGATTGGCATGGCCTCTATTATTATTATTATTATTATTATTATTATTATTATTATTATTATTATTTATACCCCACAAAGGAGACACAAAGTGGCTATCTATTATTATTATTATTATTATTATTATTATTATTATTATTATTATTATTATTATTTATATCCATTTTTTTCTGTCCACAAAGGAGACTTAAAGTGGCTATTATTATTATTATTATTATTATTATTATTATTATTATTTACACCCCACCTTATCTCTCCACAAAGGAGACTCAAAGTGGCTATCTATTGTTGTTGTTGATATATAGAAATAATAATAATAATAATAATAATAATAATAATAATAATAATAATAATAATGATGATGATGATGGAAGGAAAAAGGAAGAGGGGCTGACCAAGGGCAAGATGGATGGATGGCATCCTAGAAGTTCCTGGATTGACTCTGAAGGAGCTGGGGGTGGTGACGGCCGACAGGGAGCTCTGGCGTGGGCTGGTCCATGAAGTCACAAAGAGTCGGAAACGACTGAACGAATGAACAACAACAACAATAATAATAGATAATATTAGAAAATAGATGATATATTGGAGCCAAATCGAGGGCACAACATAACACAGAGAGAGAGCCACGAAAGACCCAAATTAGTCTGTTTTGGAGAGGAAGAGGGAGGGGAGGAGAGCTGCCATGTTTCCTATTCATGGTTTTGGGGTCCGGGAAACCCCAAAGGAATCTCTGGTCCCGAATCCCAGGCTTCTGGGAGAGCAGCAACAGGCAGAACTAGCCAAGAGGAGGCCAGCCTTGGGCCAGCGGGGTCACCTTCTGGCTTGTTCACCTCCTCCTTGTCAAGGGGCCAAACGGCTGGAGGATCGGGGCCCATCGTCCAGTGCCGCCCCCCCCCCCCTTGACCTTTGAGGTTTAGGAAAATGACATTCACAACCACGTGGAGATCTGGGTTGTAGGTTTTTCGGGATATATGGCCATGTTCTGGAAGCATTCTCTCCTGATGTTTTACCTGGATCTATCTATCTATCTATCTATCTATCTATCTATCTATCTATCTATCTATCCATAGATAGATAGATAGATAGATAGATAGATAGATAGAGAAATGGATTGATGAATGGATGATTCATCAATCCATTTCTCTTTATCTATCTATCTATCCATCCATCCACCCTTCCATCCATCCATCCAACCATTCATCAATCAATTTCTCTCTCTCTCTCTAGCCATCCATCCATTCACCAATCCATCCATCTATCATCTATCTATCTATCTATCTATCTTATCTATCTATCTATCCATCCATCCATCCATCCATCCATCCATCCATCCATCCATCTATCCATCCATCATCCATCCATCCACCCAGCCATCCATCCATTCATCAATCCATTTCTCTATCTATCTATCTATCTATCTATCTATCTATCTATCTATCCATCCATCCATCCATCCATCCATTCACCAATCCATCCATCCATCCATCCATCCACCAATCAATTTCTCTATCCATCCATCCACCCAGCCATCCATCCATTCATCAATCCATTTCTCTATCCATCCATCCATCCACCCAGCCATCCATCCATCCACCAATCAATTTCTCTATCCATCCATCCACCCAGCCATCCATCCATTCATCAATCCATTTCTCTATCCATCCATCCATCCATTCTCTATCCATCCATCCATCCCCAGCCATCCATCCATCCATCCATCCTACCATCCATCCATCCATCCATCCACCATCCATCCATCCATCCATCCATCCATCTATCTATCTATCTATCTATCCATCTATCTATCTATCTATCCATCCATCCATCTATCCATCCATCCAT